AAAGAGATTTGTAGGATTTTTTGGAGGCAACGCTGATAGAATTGTTCAAAGAGTTGAGTGTGACATCTGTAGACAGTCCACATTTTGCAGGTGTATAGCAGTGTTGGGAGGACAATAGCTTTATAAGCAAGTGACTTCAGTAGGAGTCTAATCAATAGTTTACAATAAGTTCTACTTTTTTACTATAGCACAGTTCCCACTGAAATTCAGAACTATCTGTATAAAGCTATCCTTGCTCTTCTCCACATTTTGATAAATTGAGTGTGGTACTTCTCTAACAGAAATTTCATGTAAAATGGGACTATGGTTACAGTCCTGTTCCCACTTACCTGAGAATAAGCCTCACTGGAACCAATAGAGCTTATGTTTGAGTAGATAAGATATAAGCTTGTCATGTAAGGTTATAGTTCTATGCAGCTACACAAACACTGACAAAATCTGAAATCATTCCAGATCCCAATTTAGTCCGTCTTTTTCTGACTAACACGTGTAAGTGCCAAATTTCAATTAGTCAAACAGCTCCCTTTTTTCCTTTCCCATTGCTCTTGCCATTTCTTGACACTTTTTGAAACCACTTTTCAGCCTAATGGGCTTCATGCCAATTTTGTGGGTTGAGAAAAACTGAGATGGGCAGCACAGTCCTGCCATCAGTCTCAGAAGTCACTCTCATCAAATGCAATTATTTCTCTCCAGGATAGGAGTGCAGCCCACAAAAAGTCCTCTTTAGCGATGTTAGTTTATCTATGAATTTATAACCTGCCTTTAACTAAGTATGGGACCTAAGTTGTTTTACAGCAGTGGTTCCCAACCTGTGGTCCGTGGACCACCAGTGGTCTGCAAGAACTCAAATATGGTCCACGGCCTCGCCGTTATTTACCATTGCAATGAGATCTGCTGGTCTCGCAAAACCCTCTTATAGTGCTGAGGCATATTAACTATGGTTTTCTGTGGGCAAGGAGATGGCAACTACTGGATAGACTKTGTTCTGTATCAGAAACTAGAGCTGATGCGGTCTATCCAATGCAATTTTCTGAATCAGCACCCCAAATAACCAAACCAGACTGTGGCACAGCTAGCTGAGAGCTAGCTGCATTAAATCACTACTGACTTGAGAGGTCACGAMTTCYAAGCTAGCCCGGGTCAGYYTGAGTTTCTGGCCATTRGTCTAGCTTGCACCCAGAAAGATGGTTGCGTCTGTCAAGCAGGAAATTTAGGTACCGCTGATGCGGGAAAGCTAATTCAAATAATTTACGATACCATAAAAACCTTCCAGCAGTGTGCAGAAGAATGAGTAAGTACTCCATTAAAGGACTCGGTATAACAATGGACGGTGAAGCAGCAGCTCCCCCTGTGCCCAGAATCAAGCCAGAATCCAGCATACTCTCATGAAGCCAGAAAAGGCTTGGGTACAGCCGGAATGTTAAAATTGCCTCTGCATCTGTCTATATATGTTGTATCTCTAACTGGCACTGAATGTTTGCCATGTATATGTGCATTGTTACCCTCCCTGAGACCCCAGCAGGATGAGAAGAGCAGAATTATATATATACTGTAAATAAATAAATAATACATCATAGAACAGTGGTTCTCAACCTGTGGGTCCCCAGATAGTTTGGCCTATAACTCCCAGAAAGCCCAGCCAGTTTACCAGCTGTTAGGATTTCTGGGAGTTGAAGGCCAAAACATCTGGGGACCCACAGGTTGAGAACCACGGTCATAGAATCATAGAGTTGGAAGAGACCTCATGGACCATCCAGTCCAACCCCTTGCCAAGAAGCAGGAAAAGCACATTCAAAGCATCCCCGACAGATGACCATCCAGCCTCTATTTAAAAACCTCCAAAGAAGGAGCCTCCACCACACTTCGGGGCAGAGAGTTCCACTGCTGAACAGCTCTCATAGTCAGGAAGTTCTTCCTCATGTTCAGATGGAATCTCCTTTTTGTAGTTTGAAGCCATTCTGTGTACTAGTCTCCAGGGCAGCAGAAAACAAGCTTGCTCCCTCCTCCCTATGACCTCCCCTCATATATTTATACATGGCCATCATGTCTCCTCTCAGCCTTCTCTTCTTCAGGCTAAACTCCTCATAGGGCTTCATCATTTTAGTCAACTTCCTCTAAACACAATAAATAATAAATAAACTCAATCTAAAGTTGGCCAAAAACTGATTTGTGCATTGGTACTAATGTTGGAGTATGATCTTTGGTCAAAAAAAGGTTATGAATCACTGTTTTACTGCATAAGATGAAAACAAAACCTCCATATATACATGTATGTCCCTATTTCTCATACATAGTCAGCTATAGTACGGTACAATGTATTGAATCGACTCTAGGATGAGAATAGTTTGTATTTAGTCACTATCTCTTGTGCTCCTTCTGCAGTACATGTCACCTTCCTGCATGGCTGGGGGTTGGACTCGATGACCCATGTGGTCTCTTCCAACTCTATTATTCTATGATTCTATATTCCTATGATTTCATGAAGGCAAAACAAGGAAATAAAGGGATGGAATTCTGTATCACGGGAGTCCCCGGCGGCACAGTGGGTTAAACTGCTGAGCTGCGGAACTTGCTGACCAAAAGGTCGCTGGTTCGAATTCGGGGAGCGGCGTGAGCTTCCACTGTCAGCCTCAGCTTCTGTCAACCTAGCAGTTCGACAACATTCCAATGTGAGTAGATCCAGCAGGAAGGTAACAGCGCTCTATGCGATCATGCTGGACACATGACCTTGGAGGTGTCTATGGACAACGCTGGCTCTTCAGCTTATTTATTATTTACTAGCTTGGGGACCCGGCGCTGCCCGGGTTATTAGAGAAAGTGGGTAATGGGGGTTCTGTATGCCAGGTTTGGCCTTTATTGGTCATTGGATGACGGTTGCATTGTTTTTAGGAAGTGAGTGAAGGTACTTGAAGTCCCATCATCCATGATCCACCCTCCTCCAAACTGAAACAGGATGTAGATAGGGTCGGGGGCTCTGTGTGCCAAGTTTGGTCTTGATCAGTCATTGGTTCAGGGTCGCAATGGTTTCAGTAAATGAGTGAAGCTACTGCAAGTCCCATCATCCATGGTCAACCCTCCTCCAAACTACAGCAGGATGTAGAGTGGGTCATGGGGGCTCTGTGTGCCAATTTGGTCTTGATTAGTCATGGGTTGAGGGTCACAGTGGTTTCAGTAAGTGAGTGAAGATACTGCAAGTCCCATCATCCATGGTCCACCCCCCCCCTTAGAACTGCATCAGGATGTAGAGTGGGCCATGAGTACTCTGTGTGCCAAGTTTGGGCCTGGTCTGTGATTTGTAGGGGCTACAATGTTCTGTGGGAAGTGAATCAGGTGAAGGTACTGCAAATCCCATTATTAGTGGCCCATCCTGCCCTGAACTGCACCAGGTTTTAAAGTGGGCCATTGGGCCTCTGTGTGCCAAGTTTGGTCCTGATCCGTCATTGGTGTGGGCCACAGTGCTCTAAGGTAGTGAGTCCTGTCATCCATGGTCCATCCTCGCTCAAACTGCACCAGGATGTTGAGTGGGTCTTGCGGGGGAGGGGGGGGGTCCATGTGCCAGGTTTGGTCTTGTTCTGTCATTGTTGGGGGGGGGGGGGGCACAAGGTGTTTTGGACTTCAACTCCAACCATTCCTGACAGCTTCAGGCCCCTTTCCTATTCCCTTTGCTGCCTCGGAATGTTCGGGGTGGCCAATCAGAGATCATATGCAAATCGTACCACAGTGGCAGCCAATCGGAAAGCTGGCACATACCCCTCCGGTCACACCGCCACACTTCCGCCGCATACAAACTTTGACTTTTATTATATACATAGATTTGCTATATTTATATACCACCCTTCTCAGCCTGCAGGCGACTCAGGGCAGTTTACAGTCAACACCAAAAACATAAAATACAAATTAAAACAGTTACTACTATAAAACCAGATAAAACAAACAGAATCAATAAAGACATGTATCAGTTTGAGACTCATCATTAAAAGTATTATCCAATAGCGTTGTCCAGTCGTTCCATTTCTTTCTTTTTTTTCTATGTCTATTATATTGGAGGAGCCTGAAAACGTGGTTGTTCCAGTGTGCCTTCCCAGAATAAGGAAAACTCTCAGCAATATGGCCTCAAATGCACTTTACCACTGATTTAGGATTGACTGTGTTCCCTCATCTCTTTTTGAAAACCCTATACCAGTTATATCCTACCTCATTCATGCCTAGCGTTATTTTTTAAATTTTAAATTATTACATTTGGCCCGGCCATGTACTGTGGGCTTGGCCTCATGTAAGCCGCACTGAGTCCCTTGGGGAGATGGTAGCAAGGTATACACCAAGTATTATTATTATTATAATATTGTTGTTATTATTATTATTATTATTATTATTATTATTATTATTATTGCATCTGCACATGCCTGCTCAAATAGCCAAGTCTTGGCTTTCTTTCAGAACGATAAAAGGGAAGGGGCTGATTTAATATCCCTAAGGAGGGTGTTCCATAGTCGAGGGGCCACCACTGAGAAGGCCCTGTCTCTTGTCCCCGCCAAACGTACTTGTGACAAAGGCAGGATTGAGAGCGGGGCCTCTGCAGACGAGCTCAGAAATGGAGATGAGCACCAACCCAGAGTCGGACACAACTGGACTTGATGTCAGGGGGAAAACCTTTACCTTTACTAATTCTATATCATAGAGCAGATGCTGATTTTCTTTTGAGGGCTGGATATTCTTAGCTAAGTTTTCCAGCGTGGGCCTGACTTTTCTCCACAGCTTTACCCCAGGGCCGCTCAACTAGAGCGAAGCAACGCCTTCCTCCCTCTCCTCCCAAACAAAACAGACTCAACTACGCCTCCCTCCCTCTCGTCCCAAACAAAATAGTTACTAAAGGATCCCTGCCGTCGGGACAGGAGATGGCAACAAACCCGGGAGGGGATCTGGGGCGGGATGGCGCTCCTTCTGCCTTGGCTTTCCAAAGAGGGAAAGGGGGTTAGCGGGAGCCCAAGTGCCGACGTTACCTGGCGCAAACACCATGGTGGCTTCCTCGCCAAGGAAGAGGCTTCGTGCGTCAAAAGCCGAAAGAGGCGGGCGGAGGGAGAGGAGGGCAGGCATGCGTCCGGGGCGGGCGCTCGGGCAGGACTAGCACCTTGGACAGCGCCTGGTCCGGGACAGCCAGCGCTCCCAACACAATGCGCCACTCCGGAGGGGAGGAGGAAGAGGAGGAGGAAGGACGAGGGAGGAAAAGCAGCCCTGGACTCCGAGCAGCTCTCATTCCTTCGCCCTCTCTGCGCACACACATCTCCGACTTTGCCGCAGCAGCAGGAGAGGGAAGGGGAGGAGGGCAGGGGAAGGAGGGAAGGAAGGAAGCAAGCAAGGGAAGCGCCGGGACGCTCGGCAGGAGGAGGAACTAATTGCTCCTAATGAGCTCTCCTCCGTCGACGAGCTGGGTYAKCTTTGGGGGCGGGGAGGGGGGGGGGCTTCAGGACTATTCTCCAAGCCTCTGCTCAYTAGGTGAGATGAGAGAAGGAAGGTATCCTAAGGATGGAGGGCTGAGGTGGGGAACAAAAGTGGGGAAACCCACAACTTGAAACTACAGTGGGRTCTTTATATCCAGCAACAACAACAAAACTTTATTTATATACCGCTCTATCTCCCCGAGGGGACTCAGAGCGGTTTCCAAATAACATTTATTTATTTATTTATTTATTTACATGTATTGGCTTTCATGGCTGGAATCACTGGGTTGTAGGTTTTTTCGGGCTATATGGCCATGTTATTTTCCGAGCCCAATTTAAGGTGCAGGTGCTTACCTTCAAAGCCCTAAACAGTTTGGGACCATCCTACCTGCGTGACCGCATTTCCGTCTATGAACCCACACATTCACTGCGTTCATCCAGAGAGGCCCTGCTCGTGATTCCACCTGCGTCGCAGGTGCGCTTGGTGGGGACTCGAGACAGGGCCTTTTCTGTGGTGGCCCCCCGACTCTGGAACACCCTCCCAAAAGATCTTAGACAGGCCCCTACATTGGCAGTCTTTAGAAAGAACTTGAAGACCTGGCTGTTCCGATGTGCCTTCCCAGATTAGGAATCTCCAATACCAAGTCCCAGAAGCACTTTAGTAGAACTAAGATTGTTGCACACCACACACTGCACTTACCCTATAATCCTACATACCTCCTGCCACATCAGCACTTTTAATCTTGTACCCACTACTTTGGCCCGGCCCAGTTTTATAGTGTCTTGATGTATTGTTTATTGCTTGTTGTTAATATTGCTTTAACTGTTTTTAATTTGCTTTAGGTGTTGTATTGTTGTATGTTTTGAGGCCTTGGCCTATGTAAGCCGCATCGAGTCCTTCGGGAGATGCTAGTGGGGTACAAATAAAGTTATAAATAAATATGTTCTAGAGGCATTCTCTCCTGAGGTTTCACCTGCATCTATGGCAAGCATCCTCAGAGGTAGTGAGGTCTGTTGGAACTAGGTAAATGGGGTTATATATCTGTGGAATGACCAGGGTGGGACAAAGAACTCTTGTCTGCTGGAGCTAGTTGTGTTTTTTAAAAATATTATTTATTATTTATTTATTTACAGCATTTATATACCGCTTTTCTCACCCCTAGGGGGACTCAAAATGGTTTACACATAGATAATGGCAAAATTCAATGCCTTACAACTACAATAGTAAAACCACACTTTAAACATAAATCATATTAAAAACAGTACATCATCAAATATCAAAACAGTTATTAAAACCATAAAACAATCTCATCAGTCGAGTCGCCGTTCCAGTCCTTGTCCCACTAAAAGCTGCATACATCTATTGTCCGAAGGCCTGGTCCCAGAAGCATGATTTTAATTTTTTTTCTAAAGGTCAGGAGCAAGGGAGCAGATCTTACCCCCTTTGGGAGTGTGTTCCATAGGCGGGGCCACAGCTGAGAAGACCCTGCTCCTCATCCCCGCCAGCCACATTTGCGCTGTTGACAGGAGTGAGAGCAGGGCCTCCCCATATGATCTCAAATTGCGAGGTGGGACATAGGGGCAGATGCGTTCGGACAAGTAAGCTGGGCCTGAACCGTATAGAGCTTTATAGGTCAAAACTAGCACTTTGAATTGGGTTCGGGCATTCTTTTGTTGAGAGGTGATTAGATGTCCCTTATTGTTTTCCCTCTGTTTTGCTGTTGTAATTTTAGAGGTTTTTTAATACTGGTAGCCAGATTTTGTTCATTTTCATGGTTTCCTCCTTTCTGTTGAAATTGTCCACATGCTTGTGGATTTCAATGGCTTCTCTGTGTAGTCTAACATGGTGGTTGTGAGAGTGGTCCAGCATTTCTGTGTTCTCAAATAATATGCTGTGTCCAGGTTGGTTCATCAGGTGCTCTGCTATGGCTGACTTCTCTGGTTGAAGTAGTCTGCAGTGCCTTTCATGTTCCTTGATTCGTGTTTGGGTGCTGCATTTTTATTTTAAAAAAAAAACCCTCTAAAATTACAACAGCAAAACAACAGAGGGAAAACAATCAGGGACATCTAATCACCTCTCAACAAAAGATTTCCCCAGGCAATGCTAATCAAGGTGGTCAGTTGAAACATTCACAGGTTGTTGTAGGTTTTTCCGGGCTGTATGGCCATGTTCTGGAGGCAATTTTTCTCCTGACATTTTGCCTGCATCTATGGCAAGCATCCTCAGAGGTAGTGAGGTCTGTTGGAAGTAGGAAAAATGGGTTTATATATCACACCTAGCTCCAGCAGACAAGAGTTCTTTGTCCCCCCCGGTCATTCCACAGATATATAAACCCATTTTCCTAGTTCCAACAGACCTCACTACCTCTGAGGATGTTTGCCATAGATGCAGGCGAAACGTCAGGAGAGAATGCCTCTAGAACATGGCCATATAGCCCGAAAAAACCTACAACAACCCTATTTATTTACAGAATTTATATACCGCCTTTCTCACCCCTGTGGGGACTCAAAGCAGTTCACACATAAATAATGGCAATATTCAATGCCTTACACTGGGCACCGATACGATGCCAATACAAACAATTACAATAGTAAAACCACAATTAAACATAAATCACAATTAAAACAACACATCAACAAGCATTAAAACAATAAAACAGTCCCATCAGTCAAATTGCCATTCTAGTCAATGTCCCTCTAAAATGCTACATACATCTACTGTCTGAAGGACTGGTCCCAGAACCATGATTTTAATTTTTTTTCTAAAAGTCAGGAGGGAGGGAGAGGATCTTACCTCATTTGGGAGTGTGTTCCATAGGCAGGGAGGCCACAGCCGAGAAGGCCCTGTCTCGCATCCCTGCCAGACACATTTGTGGTGTTGACAGGAGCGAGAGCAGGTCCTCCTCGGATGATCTTAGATTACGAGGTGGGACATAGGGGTGGATGTGTTTGGACAAGTAAGCTGGGCCAGAACTATATCATCAATACATACAAAGAAAACAGCATAAACATAAAATTAACAAGACAATATAAGCATTAAAAAATCACACCAGCACATATATTTAGAATAATCCTGCCGGGCCAGGGCTAGTGCAATTTGTAGAGGGCCCGGGAAATTAGGTTGAGTCTATGGCTGTTCATTTCCAGGGCCTAATAGGAGAAAGTAACTTAGGTAATTGGTAGAAAAAGATATGGCCATATTCAACAGTATCTGGGGCTGAGCTTGAACTAGTCATTCTCAAAGGCTTGTTTAAACCACCAGGCTCTTATGAAAGAAGGGGAGGGATGGGGCCTGTCTTATTTCTCTAGGAAGGGCATTGCAGAGGTGGGGGGCCACCAGCGAGAAGGCCCTCTCTCTCATCCCCAACCGTGATTGTGATGGTGGTGGGAGCAAAAGAAGGGCCTCCCTGGAAGATCTTAAAGTTTGTGCCGGTTCATAGAGGGAGATGCAATCGCAAAGATAGGCGGGGCCCAAACCGTTTAGGGCTTTATAGGTCATAACCTGCGCCTTGAATTTGGCTTGGCAGCTTATCAGCAGCCAGTGAAGCTGTTTTAAAAGGGGCATTGTATGCTCCCTATAATTTTTCAGGGGTGGGGGGATTTTAAATCCAGGGCTTTAAAATCCCCCTCCCCTGCAACAAACAAACAAACAAAACAAGCAAACAAAAAACAAATATCCCTGGCAATCATATTCAGAGGTTTTGAGGTCTGAGGATGCTTGCCATAGATGCAGGTGAAACGTCAGGAGAGAATGCCTCTAGAACATGGCCATATAGCTTGAAAAAACCTACAACAACCCAGTGATTCCGGCCATGAAAGCCTTCGACAATACATTAAGCAAGGGAGGTTTATATATCTGTGGAATGTCCAGGGTGGGGAAAAGAACTCTTGTCTGCTTGGGGCAAGTGTGAATGTTACAATTTGCCACCTTGATTAGCATGTAATGGCCTTGCAGTTTCATAGACTTCTAGAGTTGGAAGAGACCTCGTGGGCCATCCAGTCCAACCCCCTGCCAAAAAGCAGGAAAATCGCATTCAAAGCACCCCGACAGATAGCCATCCATTCTCTGTTTAAAAGCCTCCAAAGAAAGAGCCTCCACAACCCTCTGGGGCAGAGAGTTCCACTGCTGAACAGCTCTCACAGTTAGGAAGTTCTTCCTAATGTTCAGGTGAAATATCCTTTCCTGGAGTTTGAAGCTACTGTTCCACATCCTAGTCTCCAGGGCAGCAGAAACACTGTGAACCGCCCTGAGGTTCACATAAATAAATAATAAAACAAGCTTGCTCCCTCCTCCCTATGACTTCCGTTCACATATTTATACTTGACCATTGTGTCTCCTCCCAGCTTTCTCTTCTTCAGGCTAAACGTGTCCAGCTCTTTAAGTCACTCCTCATAGGGCTTGTTCTCCAGACCCTTGATCTTTTTAGTCGCCCTCCTCTGGACACATTCCAGTTTGTCAACATCTCCCTTACATTGTGGTGCCCAGACCTGGACACAGTATTCCTGGTGTGGTCTGACAATGGCAGAATAGAGGGGCAGCATGACTTCCCTGGATCTAGGCACTATACTCCTATTGATGCAGGCCAAAATCCCATTAGCTTTTTTGCCACTGCATGACATTGTTGGCTCTTGTTTAACTTGTTGTCCATCAGGACTCCAAGATCTTTTTCACATGTATTGCTGTCGAGCCAGACGTCCCCCATTCTCTATTATTGCATTTCATTTTTTTCTGCCTAAGTGGGGTATCTTGCATTTGTCACTGTTGAACTTCATTTTGTTTCAAAGCCGGACACCATTGTATGTAATCCGACTTCAACATCCACAGTAATATTTGCCCTGGCATTTTTGATTTCAACTACTCTGGACTCCGTGAAACCTCCCTTGAATACAACTCAAAAGCTGTAGCTAGTGTCAAATGCACTGCCCAACTGCAAACTGGAAAACCATAGACATCACATAATGCTAGTCTTAATGATCTAAACTTAAGGAACTTGTGATTTGAAGCCCTATGGCTTGGAACTTCTCCATGGATGTGCTTACCTGAGGAACAAGGTTTGCAGGGAGGGCTCCTCTATGTCCCGGTGAGGTCAATATGCTGTGTGAAAATATTATAGATGGCCTTCTTGGCTGTAGCATCTCAGTTACAAAACACTTGTCCCTTAGAAGGCTGTCTATTGTTAATATTTGCTTCTTTTAGGTGTTATCTCCTGGTTTAGTAAGCTTTAGTAAGTTCCTCATCAACAAGGAAGGACAAATGGTTAAGAGATATAACCCCATGGATGACCCCGTTGTGATCAAGAAGATTCTGCCTGCTTACCTGTAGGCCCAGCTCCCCATCGTGTCCCGCAGCTTACCCCTCCGCTTTCCTGGGATGCTCTGGTTAATCCGTTAAAATTCATGAGTAAACTAGGTTTTGGGGGTGGGGGGCTAGAACCCTTAACTCCCCCCCCCCCCCCCCCCCCCCCCCCCCGGCTATGGCCCTGGTTGTAGAACACCTGTCACTTAGAAGGCTGTCTCCTGTTAATACTTGCTTCTTTTAGGTGTCTATTTGTTAAAGCCTTGATATCCTAACTCAGTGGTTCTCAACCTGTGGGTCCCCAGGTGTTTTGGCCTACAGCTCCCAGAAATCCCAGCCAGTTTACCAGCTGTTAGGATTTCTGGGAGTTGGAAGGCCAAAAACATCTGGGGACCCCAGGTTGAGAACCACTGTATTGACTCTAAAATGTTTATGCACATACATTTAAACCATTTTAGCCCTTTAAATCTGTTCTAACTCATTGACTGTTTTCTGTCTATTCAAATTATTTTGTTTGAACTTGTTTTTATTTATTTTGTTCATGTGTTGCCCTAAGACCTCATGAAATAAAACAGGACATTATAAAATTATTATTATGTTTATATGCACTTTGTGTAGCTGCGGAACCGTATTTGGTAAATTCGGTTGTTACGGAGTACACAGGTCTACACAGCACATTCTTGAACTAGCTCTATGAGAGATACAGTAGCAATTTGATATAATCCAATCAACAAACTCACGTCAATGGGATTATCTCACCTAGACTAACTCACTTTAAATACCAAAGCAGATGCTACAATGATCATTCACTTCTTGCCTGTCAGGTAAAGTTAATCCTTACAGTTACTCCCCATCTGACCTACAAACCTTGGATCTTATAAACAAATTGGTTTTTCTCAGATTAAATGCGAAAGCATTTTCACTTTAGCAAATGAACCTAGAAACAGTCTCAAAAAACTCTACTTTTTATTTATAGGGGATATAACTGTCGTAAATAAATACTTTTGGGAAAATGCTTTCAGAATTATGACATTTTATCACATGCATTTCAGCAAATGTGGTGTTTTTGTTTTGATATTAGCAAGAATCACAAACAATTGGATCCAGGTGTCTAAATATTCAAGTCTCTAAATTAGAGTCTACTCCATTAGACTAAATTTAATAAATGATTCTGAATGAAAAGCCACTTATGTACTTGGCCATAGGTTTAAATAAAACAGACTTGCTTCTAACTCAACATATACATGATTGTACCATCATGTTCATTTTGAAGTAAATTTAATTGTTATACATTTTGAAAAATTAATGTATTTAGTTTGAATGGTATATGCTCCAGGTTATTATTTGCTAGAATCAACTTTCAGAACATTTACCTCTTTTATCTGTCCAGAGAGAAGATAATAATTTTTCCATTTCTAAATATTATTTTGACCAACACATACCGTAAAAAGATAATTCAATCTTTGCTCATTTCAGGTAATGCCATGATATGTTATCATTTTTTTAAAAAATGTGCTACCTATAAAAATTACTTTTAACAAAAATAAAATCCACATCTTAAGGAAATATGTGACTCATTCATTAACTAGACAAATTACAGTGGCAAAACTGTAAATGAAGCAACAAAGCAGATTTGTTCTATGATATGCTTGTTCTTCAACCCAGGCTCCTCAATGATGTATTGTTATTTTAAATTTGTTTTTTTGTTTTGAAGAAAAATCTTATTCACACTGACCCAGAAATGAGTGCTACTGAATTCAATGACACTTTTTCCCCTGAGGAAACAGGTGTGATATTAAGCTGTAAATTTCCCTGGCATGAACATTCAATGGGTTTGGATCAGAGCTAACCTTAAGGAAAAAGAGGACAAGGGGGTGATATCTGTCAGTTTCCTCTCCACAACACATTTCCTGCAAAGCTATTTTGAACTGACAGTGAAATGATACAAAAAGCAAAATGGAGGGCTGCAGGAGCAATTGGCAAAGACTGCCACCTTCAGGGAGCTTCTGCTGGAGCAGAGTATTATCTATTAAAGGAATGGCCCATCCCTGGTAAGAGACACGAGTGATACATTCATGCTTGAGAATATCCACCCTGCCTGAATATCCTTTCTTTCCAATGACTATATCATACACAAAAAACCCCTACAGAATACAAATGTAATTTATATTTTTGTTATAAATCTGATACTGAGGTACTATATATGGGCTGCCCTTTGTTCTACCACACCATAAACTATTATTTCCAGCTCCACTGAAAGAAAACTAGAGTAGTGAATGACAAAGTACAGTACCGAGTAAAAAAAGGACATGACTTTTACCATTTGAAATTACGTATCAAACCTTCTGACACCAATATATCAAAAATTAAAATAATGAATGCTCTTGGAAAAGGTAAATGGACACATGTATATATTCTAAAATATTCATGTTTTATTTACATGACAATGTTCCAACTCTTGGTATTTTAAATATAACTTAAACATGACTATCCAATAGATGATTTACAATGACACTGTAACAAAGACCAGTAGTTGGATATAACTTATTCTGCTGCTTAAAAATATTAGCCGTAATTGCTATTCAGAAACGCAAGAGGTTATTTGACACATTAAATTACAATCATTCATTCTAATTTGATGTTTAAAAAACAAGTACTTGCATTGTCCAATATTACTTAAAATGTAATCTTGAATAAAAGTACATACAAATTACGCCAAATTTGTTGGAAATCTTCAGACTTCCCTTTTACTGAATAGAAATCTCATTCTACAGTTTGTTAGAAATGAAATAATAACTAAAATAATATTAAAGTATATCAAAATGATAATTCTTTATTTCAAATCAATCCAATTAATTGACTTGAGGAGGGCAGGCTAAACAAATGGTGAAATAATTTGCCATTCTCTTTTACAGTAAAATGCCCATTGATGGAAAGGTTGCATTCATTTCTTTGTGCTTTGACAGATATCCAGAGACAGACATGGTACATAGCTCAAGAAAGGTTGGTGGTTTTGTGAGATTTAAGCTTAATAACTATAGCTATGGAGTGATTGCATTAAGCAGTAGGCCCAAGCACATTTACTAACAAATCAGCCCAGTTGAAATTAGGACGTACTTTGAAACACAGAATTAGGATGTTTATCTCCAAACAACAAATATCACAGATAAATGAAATACAGTTGAAGTCTGCAATCCTATACACAGTAGTAAGAAATCAATGGGATTTCTGAGTAAACATGCAAGGCACTGGGCTGTTAAGACTTGTGGAATGCTAAATAGAATTATATTCAATTATGTAATATTATATTATTTTGTTAAAACGGAACAGAAATATAGGCTTTTATATTCTTTTAAATTGCATCCCAAGAAAACTACATTCCAACAGACCACTTCATCCTGGGTTTCATGAAAAGACTATTCTAATACAGGCACAGTATTTACTAAATTGTTAAGACAGTATCTTGAGTCATCCCAATTCAATGACACTGCAGGTCGGTTCACTCTGAGAAAACTGAGGCTGGAAATATGTGTGGGCTCTTTTAATGGACATGGCGGATTTGTACAAATGTTCTCCATTTAGAACATGGAAGTGTGCATTGTGTCTTAAAGCCTGTTCCGCTGCATGTTTACTCACAAACAAGTTCAACTGAGTACCACTGTAAATGTGTACAGGATTATAGCCTTGAAATTTGTCGACTAAGGAAAACGATGAAAGACTAGGATATTCTTAGTTACCATCTAGAATAAGAAAAGCAAGTAAAGTAGTCCCTATTGTTCAGTGACCATTGTAGTGGATTAAACTAGAACCAGACACCTGCAAAAAGCAATCTGACAAAATACTAGACATATTATATCACCAACAATTCTGATTAGAGGTCTGGATTTGAATGCTTTTTTTCTAAATGAGTTCTTGCATTAATTTCAACTCATAATTTAAATATTTAAAAAGTGTTGTAGCATAATTTACTGTATTTAAGCTGCTCAATATTCACTGATAGCAAAATCTGCAGGCAAACGAAACCAAAGGGCTTGATGTCAAGCTGCTTTTGTAATACTTACATGAAACTAATTTCTAATGAAATTAATGAGGCTTACTTTCATGTAATAGTTACAATTCAATAAATCCCTAATGGGAGTACGTATTTGGTTTAGCAACTTGAGCTGCCACTTCTTAACACGATAGATAATTTCTGTGGGAATTCAGGCATTCCCAGCATGACAGCAAACATACTTAGGACTAGAATGCCACACAAATGGAATTTAAAGCTGTCTAAATTTAAACATTTCATCTTAATTTCACTGTGCGTTGGAGTGTAAGGTCTTCCATTTCACATGCATAGTCTACTCCATTGAGAGGCATGCACTGAAAACTTGAGTGTTAATAAACAAATACAAATCAGGCCCTGCTTTTTCATTTGTTGCCCAACTGAAGGCCTTGTTTCTTGTTGAATATTTCTGGTGGAGTGTGTCTGCTGCGAATTGTAAACGGTATTTCTTACTCTGTAAGTCCTTTTAAATATACTTCTCTCAGCAGTGAGTTTATCAAACTAAAAAAAATTAAACAGTAGTTTTACCCTTAACTACACGCTATATTTTCAAGTTGCTGTTCTGCCTCAGCAGCCATGGCTGCTGCTTGTAATTGTTCTGTTTCACTTTGGAGAGCACTGGTTGTTGTTACTTGTTTCCTTTCACTATGCATATTGTTCTCATGTCTCTTTAAGTCAGATGCTTTGGCAAATGCTTTAGTACAAGAACTGCAGACAAAGGGCTTTTCCCCTCTATGTCTCCTTTCATGGTCTTTCAGGTGGGACTTATGTTTGAAAGCCTTGTCACACATATGGCACGCAAATGGCCTCTCATTGCTATGGACTCTCTCATGCTTCTTTAGGTCTGGAGCACGAATGAAAGATTTTCCACACACTTCACAGCTATATGGCTTATAGCCTGTGTGAATCTTCAGGTGCTCCTTCAAGTGAGCTTGAGTAGTAAAGCCTTTAGTGCACATTTCACAAACAAAGGGTCTATCAGCAGTATGAAGTTTTTCATGTTTTCTCAACCGTGCCTCATCAGAAAATGTTTTACCGCATGCTTGACATGCAATCTGTTCCCTGTGACCATAAAGTAAGTATTCAAATTTCATGTCGCCAGCTGCTGTTGTCCATGCTGGTGTCTGCTCATCCTTCACTTCACTGATGCCATCATTAAATGTGAGAGCTTGTGGAGTTTGTGATCCCAAGTCTTTAGTTTCAGCAGATTCTATGGACTCTACTTCCTGTCCATAGCAGTTTACCTTTCGAACCTCTTCACTCCCCAATTCCTTCAGAATTGCTTCCTGGACTCTTAAAGTAGCAGTTGGAGATTTGCCATCTTCTTGACTAGGAGGAGTTCCTTCCATTGTCATATCTGATGGGCTATCGTCATGGTCTCCAATTTCCTCAACTTCATCATCTTGGTTATCATTAGATTCACCAATTGATCTATTTATTTTAAGACAGTACTTATTTTTTGACTGTGAATTATCTTCTGGACTGGATACATCACGTTTCTGAGAACAAAGTTTATCCAAAAATCTAATGCCAAGAATCTGACCAGATGACATCATTAAATTTACGTCTTGTTTCTTAACTGAAATCTTGGCTGTGTACATGTAATTGAGCACTTCTTCAAATATGTCAGACCGAAGGAAATCAATTTCTATTACTGATGAACTGTCAACTTCCAGTTTTTTGAAAAGTTTTTTAAAGTAAGTACTGCAAGCAGCAAGCACGCATCTGTGGGCCCTAAATTTCACGTCTTCTACTACAATCGCTATGTCGCAGAATTCCCCTTCCAACCGCTGCTCATTTAATGTTTTCAGAAACACCGTTTTGTGATCGTCGTCATTATATTTAATGGTTTCAGACATACTGATGAAAAACTCCTGTAGAAAAATAATGAATTTTTAATTTCATTATATGAAAAAATAAAGACATTGTGGAAATATATATTAGCTTTGAACTTTCTAAATTAAATTCCATAAGAATTAAAATCAATTAACAATATTTAAAAACAAAGTGGGCATAGCAGTGGAGGAAACCTGTTTCATGCTTCTCTAACAAAACTGGCAAGTGAATTGTGGATCACTATTATAAATATTTCAGGGTTTCATATCCTGAAGTTGTCAGGAGTTTATTCTAGAGTAAGACTGACAGAGAGTGGAAGTCTACAATGCTTGATGGCCTTGCAGAATCCACCATTTGTCTTTGCCCCCAGCTGTGCTTGGAAATGACAAACATAGCAACAATAGTACTGAGTTCAGAAAAAAACTCATCAGAGAGACGAAGAGAGGGGGGCATGACATGAACAGAAGATGGATGCACCAAAAGCTCCTCCTTTCTCCAAAACCTTCCCATCATTCATCTGTGAAATTTAAGGCAATAATCTAGTGAATTACATATTTTACTGAAATCAAGGATTAACAAAATGCAAAGAAAAAGAAATGTTAAATTATACCATGAACAATGAAGTATCTTTTCTTAATATCTGAACAAAGTTTTGACAGCAGATTAACCGTTATCCTGAGGACCCTGAACCTGAAAGAGAAAATTTTGAGGCTTCTTAAGAGAATATAATAACTATTAATGCACTCTTCCTCCAAGAACCATATTGCTTCCACCCAACTTCATTTCACTCTTATGGGATTAGCCAAAAGGCAGGAATTGGTTCAAGGTCATGCAGCTAACTTTATGGCTAATGCAAATTTCTTTGGTTCTTAGCCCATTTTCTACTATTCTACAATGTGACTCACAAATCTATCTTGAATTTAGAGTTAGCTACAGAAAAGATGTGTTCATTGAAAAAAAAATCCAAATCCGATACTGAGGTCTGACGGCTTTCTTGCCACATTTTATAAAATAGTCAGCAAATAAACTCAACTGTGTTATTGTTTGCTAAAGCTGTGGCTTCAAGCATTCAAATGTACATGCTGCATTAAAATCCAGGTGACAGTTAAACAAAATCTAAAATGCTAACACTACTAGTGAAAACAAGACAAGAGTTTAGAACAGAACTCACAGTTCAAATAAAATTCTACGCTTGCACACAAAGCATCTCTGTAGCTGGGAGGCCAATACTACTTCCACTATGCCTGGTCATGCCACAGCTTTAAGCATTTCATACCTCTGAAAGTGAAATCATATACATGCCAGAAAACCTGCTGAATTTAGTGGGGGAGAGAATACAGGATTGCAAGACAGTGCAAGTCTAACTGGACAAGCGCCAGGAGGCCAACTGTTACTGTGTCAAGTCCAAACTTTTCCCACCCTAAAGGGACTGAAAGGCTTAGGCTTGCCTAATTTTGTACAGCCTGTTGGCTGTAACAACCTACCAGCTGTTAGGAATTGTGGAAGGTGAAGGTCAAAACACCTGGAGGCCCAAAGTTTGCCCATGCATGGGTTATAGAGTAGTAATAGCATTCCTCAGCTCCTCCTTGGGACATGAGAGAAGTTTGCCCATGCCTGGGCTATAGAGTAGTAATAGCATCCAGCTCCTCCTTGGGACATGAGAGAATCCTCCCACAGGATGGTAAAACATCTGGGCATCCTCTGGGCAATGTCTTTGCAGATGGTCAATTCTCCCACACCAGAAGTGACTTGCAGTTTCTCGAGAGAGAAAAAGCTCCTCCTTTACCCAGCCCCTTGTTTAGATCTTCTGGTAGGCTGATCTCATATATCAGAGAAGTTGTTCCAGCAGATTTCACTGTTGGCTACAGGATCACCTTTGCACATCACCTTAGGACACTTACTCCAGCCAGCCAGAACCCGACTGGCAACTTTCACCCAAAGGACCTTTTCATTGGTTGCCCTAAGATTTTGGAATGACCTGTGGAAGAGCTCAGACAGCTAAATCAGCTGTCGGAATTCAAGGTACAACTGAAGATCTAGCTCTTTCAGCAGGCCTACCCAATCAATTTTAGACTGTGAATTTTAATATTAAATTGTATTAGTATTGGTTCTGTGTATTTTGTTCTGTGTATTTTATTGATAATATATTTATCTCCATATTTTAATTACGTGGTACCCCACCTCGAGCTGTGAGGAAAGATGGATAACAAAATTTATCATTATTATTACTGGCTGATCTTGAAGTCAGAAAGCAGAAGGAGGTGGTTTATGGCAGCACAAGATGTTTCTTCCTATGTCTGATACTACTAAAGGTTTGGTGGGCATTGACCTTGAGTTTTGGAGTTGTAGTTCACCTACATCCAGAGAACACTGTGGACTGAAACAATGATGAATCTGGACCAAACTTGGCACAAATACTCAATATGCCCAAATGTGAAAACTGGCAGATTTGGGGGAAAATAGACCTTGACATTTGGGAGTTGTCATTGCTGAGATTTATAGTTCACCTACAATCAAAGAGCATTTTGAACCCCACCAACGATAGAACTGGGCCAAACTTCCCACACAAAACCCCCATGACCAACAGAAAATACTGTGTTTTCTGATGGTCTTTGGCGACCCCTCTGACACCCCCTCACAACCCCCCCCCCCACAGGTCCCGACCCCCAGGTTGGGAAACACTGCTCTATGGCTCTCTTGTTCATTGTAATTAGGAAAGGTATCAGGCTTGCCATTTGCCATGCCTATTAAATGCCCTACAGGTTTTGTGGATGTAGTAACCCATCCAAATACTGCTGTTCCCTCACTTCATGTTGGACTTCAGCATAACTCTTTAGTTAAAACTGTGCTGCATGAAATAGTGAAAACTTCCAATTTCCTGTGAACCATAAATAGGAAGTAAAGGATTTGATTGCCAGGTACAATATCAGGATATACATGTATGCAAATATTTGTGGGGGGGGGGGGGAGACACTGATTTGTTGGCTCCTCTCTCCATGCCTTGAAGGGACTCACTGGCACAAGCCTCTCTCCAGCCTCGCACACTCTCCCTCGTGGAGAGATCTTCTGCCTTCTCTACCAAAGGGATTCCTAAGACCATTAGAAATATATGTTTCTGGTGGTCTTTGGTGCATGGCAGAAGAATTAAGCAGTGYGTCAGGCTGGATGGCCCTTGTGGTCTCTTCCAGTTCTATYAGTCTATCCTTCTATGAATCTCAATGAAGACTGTCAACATATTTCTGACTGGTGKCCYAAACAAATCTCAGCAGATCAGGAGAAGTGTGAGTTCTAGCTGAAATGTCACCTTGTCCCTATTTCCAAAACCATGTACTGCCCTTCTGTAACAACATTTCTAATGCACCATTTTGGCTTCAAAAGTAACAACGAGCAACTTGAATTTTTAAGCAGTGTTCTAAAAGCAGTGTWCCAAATGTTCTAAAAAGGCATCTTGTTGTGTCGAATCTATTCACAGGTGTATTTTTTTTTTTTTTWWAAAAATAGAACTAGGGTGCACTCCAATCGGAGCAGGCTTGTAAAGGGCCCCTTTCCAATGCTAGAGTTGAGCTAAACAGGCTGAAACAGCAAAGAGGCTTGCTTACTCGGGAGCGATGGGGGCTGGTAGCATCATCATCATCCCGATTCCCAATTCTAGGCGTTTTGAAATGAGCCTAATGAAACGTCCGCCTTTCTCCGGATGCGAGGCCAAGAGCGTGCATTCCCAACGTGCACGTACTACTAGACTGCGCAATTCCGCAGGCGGGAGAGTGAGTGTGTGTGTGAGAGAGAGAGAGCAGGAGCGAGCCAGCCAGCCAGCGAGCGAGCGAGCAAGCCGAGCTCCGCGCCTGCTCCGTGCGAGTAACCCCGAGAGCGCGGCGTGCACTGTGCATGCGCGCGAAAGGCTCGCGAGCCTGGCGCCCTGGGAGGCAGGGCTGCGGCTGAGAGGGAGAGAGTCCTCTGCGCACGCGCAAAGCCCCGCGCGCCGCTCCCCAGCCCGGCTCCGCCCCCTCCCTTCCCTCTCCTCCAACGACGAGGCCTGGAGCTTGCTTGCCCGCCTGGCCGCGCGCGCGGGACCGCTGCAAGAGCGGGTTCCCCTTCCAACTCTCGCCTCCCTCAGCGGCCGCTCGCGCTCCACCGCTCGCTCACTCGCTCCTTCTTTCCTTTTCGTCCTCATTCTTTGGAGGCCGAGCTCTTTCTTTCTGCCCCTAGGCCTTCGCTTCCCCTCTCTTCCCAGGCTTAGAAGGGACCTCGGTGATAATAGGAGCGGCGCGCGACCAGGCCTCCTCCTCCAGGCACCCCCTCCTTCACCCCCCCCCCCCAGCCGCGAGCGAGTGCGCGCGCACGGGTGCTCCTCGCGCTTACCTGTGGGTGCCCACGCGCCGTGGGGAGGGAAGGAGGGAGGGGGGAGAGGGGGAAGGAAGCGGCCCTGCTGCGCCGCAATGGAACCTTTTCTCTGGGTGAGGATTTTTTAAAAAAGGAGTGGGGGAAAGAAGAAGAAGAAGAAGCACATAGGGGGGGAAATGGCGCGCGTCTCTGACCGTTACGGCCGCGTCCTGCGCGAGCATGGGAGGAGGCGGGGGTGCGCGCGCAGGCACGCACGCGGGAGGGGGAGGAGGCGCGCCCGGAGGCGGGAACGTGCATGCGCGGTGCGAGCAGGGCGCGCCCCCCGCGGGGAGGGAAAGAAAAGGAGGGCGGGCGCTGCTGGCGGAGTCCGTCGGCATGGAAACGAGGGGCGGGGCGTGGCGCGGGAAGGAGGGAGGCCCGCCAGCCCCGCCCGCCTGTGCGGCGCCTGGGCTCGCTCTCGGAGCCGCTGGGCCTCTCGCGCGCCCTGGGTTCCGGCGGGGCCGCGCGGGCAAAGGAAGGCCGCCCAAGGAAGCGGGCCTCTCTCGTTGAGCGAGCGGCTGCTCCTTCTGGAAAAGGAACGTGCACGCCTTCCCTTCTGAGGGAGAGGCCGAAGCCCCGTCCCTCCCCTCGACACCCTACTCGTTTTCCCAGAGGTGGAGAAGGAGCCTCTTGGGCCTGGAGGAAGACTAGGCCCAGGCAGAGCAGGCAGGCTGCCCCCGCCCTCCCTCAAGCCATTCCAAATAGAACAGCTAAGGACAGAAGGAAGGCGCACACTTCAAAAACACCACTGCGACATTTGAAGGGTTCGAATTAATTTTCCAATGTTAGTCCCCTCGAACAATTAAGTTTTCCAAGGGCAAGTGTCTCTCTCGTTCTGGAGGTCGAAAGGCGTCTGCGCTTTTGTTTTTTTAAAATTTATTTATTTAATTTACAAAAAACAAAAACAACTCAGTACAATTGCATTGCTGCATTGATTGTTCCCCATCATCAGGGGCAGTATAGTTGATTTTGCCCAGGGGCGCTCTTGAGGCGCTCTTGGGGGAAAATAGACCTTGACATATGCGAGTTGTAGTTACTGGGATGTATAGTTCACCTACAATCAAAGAGCATTCTGAACTCCACCAATGATGGAATTGAACCAAATATGGCACACAGAACTCCCATGACGGACAGAAAATATATATCGGTGATTGGTTGGGGGGGATACTGTTTGCTTTCCTTTGAAAATTACCAAGGGCCGCCTCTGCCCATCATACACAGAGCTGAAGAATAAAAACACTACTCTGTTGCTTTTAGTTACTTTAATTTTCTCCCTTACATATAAAGGGAGTCCCTGAGTTACAAACAAGATAGGTTCTGAAATTTCTTAACTTCAATTTGTAAGTCGGAACATGTACATTTTAAAGTGTAAGTCCAGACAGACACACACACACACATATGGCTGGACTTACACTTTAAAATGTACCTGTTCTGACTTACAAGTTGAGGTTAAGAAATTACAGAACCTATCTATATTGCTATCAAGCAATATAGCTGCAGCCGCCATACGTTGCTGTGGCCAACCTTTCCTCCCTCTTTCTCTCCTTTCGCTTTTTTCCTTTCCTTCTCTCCTTCCTTCCCTTCCTTTCCCCCCTTTTCTTTCCCTTTTGCTTTCTCTCCTTTCTTCCTTCACTACCAATTCTATTCTGCTGGGAGTTGCAGTCCTCCTGATCAATTTATCTACCTACCTATCTCTATTTTTTCTTACCTATCTGGAGGATTGCTGGGAGTTGCAGTCCAGGAATAGGAAATTGGAAATATGCAGGGATTGGGATGCTCTCAAAAAATCCAAGGAGAAGAAATCTTGCAGCTTGAAAGCACTGCCTAAAGGGCCTGGTCTAGGGGTTGTTAGGAGCTGTAGTCTGGAAGAGAGTGTGGATATGCTATTGTGTGTTTGGTTTGCCGGGGGAGTCATTTTGCACATGCGCTGTAGTGTCTTTTTGGGGGTTGGGCTTTTAAAGTCCCTTCCGCTGTGTTTTTCAGTGTTTTTATGAGTGATGGTCACCCCTTGGCCCAATTGGTGTATTGTGTCCAAATTTGGTATCAATTCGTCCAGTGGTTTTTGAGTTATGTTAATACCACAAATGAACAGTACACAGACACACACTATATATATGCATATATATATATATCAGCTTGGGTGATGCTGGATTGCTTTCCTTTTTGAGGATGGAACTCCACAGAATCAATGCCTTCACGAAAGTGTAACGATTTATTAACTGGCCTTGGGTCAATCTCCCCCCAGACACTAACTTGATTTCCCCACAACAAAGTCCATACTTAAAATTTTAAGGGTAACTGATTGTTCCTGAAGCTGCCAGTCGTGGATGTTTCCTGAGGAGAAGAATAGATGAAAGTTTTCCTTGTTCACTGTCTTTGGTATAAGGGCTTCTGGGTTTTCCATGTTCCGTTTCAAGTTTTGCAACGCATAGCATGAGTAATGTAAGATTTGAGATACTCTTATTTGTAAACTTAATTTTTAAGTTATACAATGGGAGGGATACTTTGGTCCTTTTTGTTAAGCGAGAGTCTCAAATCCTTGGGGCTATTCCTGGTTTTGCCCTCCTGCTCTTCAAGATCCCTCTTGGATCAGGTGCAGGCAGTCCCCAAGTTACAAGCAAGATAGGTTCTGAAGATTTGTATCTAAATGAGAACAGGTACATTTTTGAAGTGTAATTTGAGCCAGGCTCCCCCCCCCCCTCCCCCCGGTAGTGTGTTTTGAGATTACACCTTTCAAGGCACAATTAGGTCCTCCAGTGCAACTATGGTCAACTTCTGGTGGAAACATGGAATGGCCTGGAGATCCTAGGAAGTCCCTATTTTGTCAGATAAAGAGTAAATGAAACTGGGGGTATTGGCCCAGCAAGTAGTGGTCATACTGTACACACCTAGATCAGACATTAGTCCCCAAACTTTCTGATCATTCACAGCAATCAAAGTCCCTATTCAGTTCAAGCCCAGGCTGAATGTTCTATGCCTGCTACACCTTTCCCCCTATTTGCCTTCTGTCAAGAGACAAACTTCTTTTGTAGCCTTTCTCTTCCCCTACCCCACTCCATTGGTCCTTCACAACATTCTCTGGCCTGTGATTGACTCCCACCAACTAGGCTTTTCCAGCTTATTTCCAGAAGTGAAAGGATATTTTTAATGCACAAAGTGTGTGTCCTACCTAGTCCTCATGAATCCTTCCACTGTAGTCTTTTTATTCTACTGGTCCTTTGGTTTACATTTCTGAGAGGGTAAATGAGCCAGGCCTACTTCCTATACAAGTACTTGTCTTAACTGATTCCGGATTTGCTGCCTTGCCCTAAACAAAATTAATGCCTATATATCTATTATAATGAAATCATGTTTGTCCAGGAATAGAGTTTTCATGCTCTGGTATGGAGCAAAATAAAGCATACGGTTACTTTAGTTTGGAAATGGTTTTGTCGAAGAGCTGTGAGAATGTTCTGAGCAGGTTTGATCTACCTAAGTTATTTTAAAAGGCTAGTCCAAGTTGTTCTTGTGTGCCTGCAAGTAATTTCTGACTTATGACAACCCTAAGCAAAATTATCATGGGGTTTCCTTGATGAGATTTGTTCAAATGGATTTTTGCCTTTGTCTGAAGGCTGAAAGAGTGTGATTTGCCCAAGTGGGTTGTACTAATCCTAGATTATGAATCTTCAGAGTCATAATCCAAGATTCAAACCACTATACCATGTTGTCCCACCAGTCCTACTTACCTGATGATTGTCTCATCAAGGTCTCTCAATTCTGTATGGAGAGATAGGCCTTAACTTTGTGAGCATTTTAGCCAGAGTGGTTGTTTCTATGGTTCCCATTTCCTACCAGACTTCCCTTCTGGGATTCTAACAGTTCTGCTGCCTTTTTGTAGGAGTCCATTGCTATCATAGTAGTCAGACTGTTACTTCCTTCAGTTTTTGATGATGACTTAATGTATTTTATGTTTTCATTGTTTTGTAAAGCATACCTGATGTTAAGAAAAATTAATAATGACTTGACAGCCAGTATTTCGCTCTCTGCACCTTGAAATAATTCCAGAGTCATTGATCACTTGTGCATCTAGTGACAATGTCTGATCCAAGAATACCACAGATTGTAAGAATGATCCCTTAAAAGAAAGCCCATGAAAAAAGCTTGCACAATGGCTTCTTGGTATCTCCTTGGTTTTGGCTTCAGGACCTCATATGGATACTAAAATCAGTGGATGCTCAAATCTCATAATGTAGCAAAATGGTAAGCCTTATATACAATGGCAAATGAAGGCTTTTTGATTTTTTTAAAAATACTGTCATCAAGCCATGGATGGTTGTATCTGTGGATACACTTCACTTAGCAACACCCTTACTGGTACAAACAGTTTGGTTTTTTATATAGAAAGGTAGTATTTCTTTTTATAACAAATTCAAAAATGCTTCATATTTTGTTTCATCTCCTCCCATGGGACTATTTTGTAGTCCCATGGCCAGCCCTCCCTAGCAGTTTGCTGAAGCACAAGTGATGTGGAGAGTACACAGTGTGTTCTCTGCCTAAAGTGCAGGGCTTCCAGATCCTGGCCATAATTAATAGAGTTGTACCTTTGCAGTATTTATTGGCTGACACATCACTAATTTCACTACTCTACAGGCAAGCTATGTAGCATCACCTTTTTCCATAAGGAAGCAGGATTGCGTTTTTTAAATGAGAAAGAGAAGATTAGCTCCTGCATAGTTTCATGTTAAGATAGATGTCTTTAAACAATGCTGGTCTTGTTACAGTTTGTAGGGACTACATGCATACAGAAAAGACAAGACAGAGACAAATGGCAGCTTAGAAACAGGCAAGAGCTTTTTATTTCATCTGGCACAGAATTAGTCAATCAACCCTCCCAAAACAATCTATCCAAAAAACAACAGCTCCCCCCAGGAGGGACTGTCAAACAAGTTCACGAACATTGAGCCATCATTGTGTACGTCTTATTTTAATAGTGAGCACCCAATCTAAATCGACAAATCATATAAAACAATGTTAGTTTTTGGTAGCATTGTTATTTTGGTATGCCATGCTAAAATAGAGACAACATAGCAAATGCCTCTGACAGAAGTTTCTGTCTATTCCATACACCGCGCAACACAATCTTATTCAGGTTTATTCAGAAGTCGGTTCTCTAGTCGTATATTAAGGATCACAGATTTGAATGGATCCTGATGCTTTTTAACAGGAATAATGCTGTTGTTTGATTTGAGAACTGACCTGCCACAGCTATAACCTTACCATAGGGTCTATGATTTGTTTATTAAAAGGAGTTGGTATCCAATATGTTTTTCGTTTTTAACTTAATTTTGAGAATCCATCCTTCCATTCTACCACCCACTTCACATTTGCCACATTTTTAAAACCATCTATATGGCCAATTTACCTAGTTTTCTTATGCATGGATAAATGTAAGTATCAATCAGTGCCAAAGGACTTACTTATTTTGGCTGATGAAGGAAATATTTCTTGGGTGGAAATATGTTTTGATGAAATTCTTGATGCTTTATGAAAAATTGGATGAAAATATTCTGAGAAACATGGCACACCGATTCCATTAGTAGCTGCCACCGGTAGATTTTTAAAAAGTCAATTTTGGCATGCACAGAGATGAACAGGTTGATTATACTTTGATTTTACTAGTCTAAAACAGTACAATTGGAGAAGGGTACACTTGAGAGAAGTGCTGAATCTTTGTTTATTAAATAACAGGTGATGATGGTTCTACAACTAAGAAGTCTCCAACAAAACATAATAATAATAAAAAATATTGGGTAAGGGCTGCTTCCTAAACGATAGCAGTGGAATCTCTGTGAAACGGGAAGAAAAACATCATAGTAATGTTATCAATCATCAGGTAGGCGAGAATGTGCACAAGAGAGGAGAAGATATCCAAGTTTACAGGTATGAATAGAATGTGAAAAACATACAGAACAATACTCTGCATATTTATTCGGAACAAAATTCTATTATGTTTAATGGTGCTGACTCTCTAATATTTATAATTGCAGACAACTAGTTCTTCAAACTTGTATGTGTTACAAAATTTGGGGAGTTGTTCTAAGTGTATAAGCTACCCCTGTATGACTTTGACAAATACTGGGACTCACTTATCAGAATTAAGTCCGTGTTAATGTGAAATGGTCCCAAGAACATCTAAAAGACAAAGCATCACCTTTACCCTAATTTAAAGTTTTTCAGAAATTCCAGTAAAACAGGATTTGTGGAGCTGCCCTCAGCTTAATAGGACTCACTGAAATGGTAAAAAACCCAACATGACAATTGAAAGTGCACAGAGCCACTGGCAGGCTTGTATATAAGGCCACCCACTAACATACTGTTGTCCCGTTTAGAATCACAGAGAGATGTCAATTTTATAAATCATCAATTTGCCTGAGGGTAGAAATGCAGCATTCATTGTTTTTATGGTAATTCCAGCCCTTTGACACTAGAAATTATGATGGCTACCTGTTTAGGCCCTGTGTAAGTGTTCGGGTTCATAGTGTCATTGTTCATATATCCCAGTTCATGTATCCCCTTTGCACATTTCCTGCTAACACAAGGATAATTTGCCTTTCCTGGATGCCTTTAAGAGTTGAATTTTTCCTTTTCAACAAGTTGAAGCATTCCTTCTGCTGAAACTTGTTTAAAAGATTCTATGTTAAAAAATAAACTGGACATTTTGGCACTTCTGGGTTGTTCTCCTTCTCCTTCAAAATTGGAAGGAATTTTGGGCAGTCCCTGCTGCCTGCCTTCATACGTCAGGGTAGATTATTGGCACCCTGTTATGGCGAAGTTGTCCACATCTCTACTAAAATGAACCTTTGGATGAAACTGAAAATCTGAACAGGTCCTGAAGTTCCCCATTTGTGAAAAACTACCAGATTACAGCTGTTGTGTTTATATTTTTCTCTATAGATTTGTTTTTCTTGATATATATATGTATGTATATATATATTCTTTAAAAATACATATTCCTCTATCCTAAATAGCCTTTCTTTACAGAAGCGCCAATTCAAAATTGAATAAACGCTTGGTCTTCACCAGCAAAATGAACATTTTTGATGATATCTTATGCTTTTCAAAGGCCCATATCATATATTCTATTAAATTTTCTCTTTAAGAAAAATATGAGTGAACTATTCATGATTATCTAAATCAAAATAGCAAAGACCAATTTAACTACTTTTAAGACTCACTGATTAGAGTGGGAAAGGATGAAACACATTTTTTTAATTTTTTTTCTATTAAAATGATGATTCACATAGTGCTAGATTGTACCTAAATAATTTCCTGAAACAATTCTGTCTTGATTTAGAATAGAAAATATTTTTTCAAGCTAATATCCCAAATAGTTAATTGATCATGTTCTTCATTTATTTTATAGGACATACATTACACACCCATTTAATACAGAAGAAATTAGAGGGCACTATTGTATGTACACAATTGTACAGAAAGTATTTGGCTACACAATATTTTTTTCAGTCTCCTTGCTTTTCTATGTATACCTGCCTAAGTATCATAATTCTAGCTCATTAGAAGTACATCCACATTAAAATACTTTTACTATTATACAAATAGTATTAAAGTTTGAATACAGGGGTTTTTTTAGACATAGACCAATACAAATTTGGGTGCATTTACCACTTTTATTTCACAATGCAGAAACATACATTCACCATGTGTTGTGATGTGACTGACAGTGTAATGAAGACATCATTTCTTGAATGGAAGTGATAACCAATACCAAAGAATGTTTTAGTAGGTGTTCTGTACAGTTTAAGGCTTAACTCCGACCTAGATAGGAAACACTGACCAGATTTGTGAAAATAAAATGTTTCTATGAGAAAAGAAGGGAATCGTTTTTTTAAAAAGTCATGATGCCAAATACTTCTGAAATGCTAATGAAAACACACATTTTTGTTGAAATAGCCACAGTGTACTTTATAGCATGAGGACTTGTAAAAGGGTGACTGCAAGATTTCTAATTTGAAACTCCGACCAATGCTAAAATAATAATTCTCTATTAAAGGTTTCAAATCAGGTAAACAAAGCACATTTTGTAAGCATTTAAATAAGATTAGAGTCCCACCATTGTTTATTAGATAAGAGTGATAAAACCAGATGAAAACAAGTGTAAGATTCAAGTTGTTTGTTTACTGAATCAAGTGGGTTATTGGCACATCTAATGTGATAAAACATTACACACAGTATCTATACAGCCTCTAGCATTTCAGGGTGCTCTTACCCTAAACAAAAGTTTTGCTGATAAGAAACTGTGATTTAGACTTTCAATAAGTGTGAAGGCATGAACTGCTTTATGTGTAGCATGAGTTCATTATTTTACATCATTGCTGAACGTGCAGGTATAGATGGAAATGTAGTTGAGAAAAATTAAAATGCTGCTTTTTGTAATTTGTTGCTTCATGCAAATATTGGGTTATTAATGCTGAATCAGATTGCTGTAAATGGGACAATATTTCTGCCAGTGTCCTTAGTAGCAATCAAGACTGCTTCTTCCACATTGAAAATTTCTCAGGAGAAACGCAAGCCTGCTGGGTTATAACCGTGACTCCATGTAGGCTTCTGTATTCCCAATGATGTATATGATGACTTTGTAAGAAAGGTACATTACTCCTGTATAAAGAAAGTGTAATTAAGTTCTAGAAAGAAACAGATTTTAAAATAATAGATAAATTGGCTATTATGTATCACAAAAAGTATGATATTTGCTAGTACAATTAGCTCTGTATAGCACACTGATGTAAAACCGTTAGTAGGAATGTAGTAGCCTAAGTTTGTATCACAACTGCATAATTTTTCTAAAGCAATATGCAGTATATAACACAACACTGTTTTAAGTTATTTTGAAAATATTCTGAGCCTTTTAGTGACGGGTTTATTTTATCCGTAAACACAAACAGCAACTAGACCAAAGTTTTTAGACAGTATGAAGTATAAATCACCAAAGAGGTATATTTTGAGTCTTATGTGTGATTAATAATGGTTTTAGAAAGAAATAAAATGGAATAATTTATTTGTTGTGGTAAAAGCACATACTTGACATAAAGAAGAACCTAGATCCAGTCTCTGGCACACCAGAGGCTGAAAAATCTGGGTCGAAGACTTCAAAAAGTCATGGCTGTAATATGTAGTTCTGGACCAAGTACACCAATGACTTCATTCGGTGTGAGGTAGTAACTTATGTTCATAGTGGAGTTATCCAAAATGGGTCAAAAACTGCAGTATGCATAGAAAATTACTTATATCTGCAGTTCTCAACATCGTATTTCAGGACTGGTCTAAAGGCTCTGTCTTGCACCCCAGAAGTCACATCTTTTTTTAAAAACTGAAAATGTATATATTTTAAAAAAATCTAAGATAATAATTTTTGAGAGTCCCAACTGTTTGCAAGTGACTTAGTTTATCAATAGCTTATAATACATATTGCTTGGAATATATATTCACAGTTGGAAAACCATCTTTTTTCTCTCTCCCTTTTTTCTGGACTACATTTAAAACTTCACAGATGATGGGAGTATAAAGAGCTCTTGCACAGCATGTTAATATGCACCACATATTCTAGCACATGCATACAGTAACTGCATTATCTTCAAGATGCCTGCTTAGCCAAAATTTCTCAGCATGCCTTTATTGAACTTGAACAGACAAGAGAAACAAGATACATTACTGTCTCCTTTCAAGAAACAATGCCATTGTCAGAAACCAAACAGCCATGTAGAAACAAGGCAAGAAAGACATTCACATCACCACTTATTGTTGGTCAGCTAAGAAAACAATAAAGTTTAAAATAAATTTCAATCATATCTAGATAACTTTGAATTAAAACCCACATATCTATTCATATGATAGGCTGCAGCCATTACATTTGCAAGCTTTCGCAAACAGAGCAATATTTTACAATGAAATCAATGATTTCCTTTCCCTACAAGCCATATGCATATGCAGTCTTCAGGACGGGAAATTATAGAGCAACATACTGGATCATGGAAAATGCATAGCAATTAGCGAGCAGACATAAGCAAATAGGTTTCTTCTATTTCTCTAACTGGCATTAATAGAAAGTTGGGTAGGGAGGGGGAAGCACTGCACAACAAACATGAGATTAAAATTTTGGAAATCAAGTGGGGTTTTTTTTCACAAGATGTAGAATAAATGCCAGAAAGAATAAATAGAAAGGGTTAGAGATGAATTGTGAAAGAAGAAATGGATGTTGTCACATACCAGCCCATGAATGCCTGAGAAAAATCTTATCCTCTTACCTGTGGTCAATCTTCCCCATCTTCTGGTGTGATTTCTGTCTCTTTATGTACCACTACTTTGGTCACTGACATGTCAGGGTGCTGCTCTTTGGCCTCTTTAATTGCCTGAGCCAGCGCCTAGCCCAAGGAAACCACAGAAGGGCAAAAACAAGAAGGAGGTGGAACATGCATGATCAGTAGCAAGGTGAAGAGAGATTCATGGTAAATTACACAATTTGCAAATGAGGAAAAGTGATTCAAAACAGGAATTTTATAATTGATCTACATAGTAAACCAGTTAATTTCAATGGCATGCCTATACTATACTGACTTTTAAGTTTATGGTTTAAAAATCAGCAGGTGAACTTAGGGATAGTTTCAGTAACATAAATCATACCTGATCATGATCAATGTCTGCGTCGCCTGTGATCACTATTCGTTTTTCAATTCTTGTTTCTGATATGCCTCCTTTTACTGTCTAAAAGAGAGGTGGGGAACAAATACAGGCCCTCAAGTAAGAGTATTGTCCGTCATTTTAAAAAAAAACAAATAATTTGAGAATATTCTGCAAGACACATATGTCAAGTGTTTAAGAATAGCTGACATTAATGGTAATATATTTTATAGTACATTTTGGTTTATATACAATTTATATACAATATTTATATACAATATTTGCATACAAAACATAACAAAATACTGCCAGGTGAAGTCACATAAAACAAGTGCCACATTTAATTACCCAAACACATGCTCCCACTCAAGTAAAAGTGCTTAATTTTGAGCTTGTGTTATGCCCTAACACAGGTGAAGGTTATGGTACAATCTATTTTAAACTTATAGAAGAATCAGGAAGAACAAAAATTGTTGCACACATTTAGTCACACATTCATTTCTTTTTCCACTAATTTTATACAATTTCAATTATAAATAAATATATTACTTTGAATTGACTGGTCCATCTTTGAATGCACAGCATGAAATATGGCAAAGGCTCTATAGAAGAAACATCCTATTTTTATTCAATTTCAACGAAAAGGATATTTGATGTTACAATATATACAATTTAGCCATTAGCATTTAGCCATTAGCCTGATACCCATCGGCAACAAAGGAGTAGTGGCTGGGCTTTTTCGTAGTAATATCCATGTAATTGTTTTGAAATAAGCCTAGTTTACTTCTCCAAATTGTCGAGGACTATATATTATTCCCATGACTCTACATACCAGAAAGTTCACCTACTGTTCATACAAATTTATTTTCTGGTTGCCACTAGTAACTATTTTTGCAGGTTCTTGTTTGAATCCAGAATATAAGTGTTTCTACTGAATGACTGCAGATAAGTGCTACATAATAATAAGCTTAGAACCAGATATTTGAAGGTTCCCTTCATCCTGGGT